GAGGCCTGCCGAATGCTATCATAAAGTGTCCACGTGAGGGACAGGCACGTGAACAGACACAAGTTCACACGGGGTCATCTGTATAGAAATACGGGATCCTACGCCGGGATCAGACTCTTCAATTACTAGAGAGCTCTCTAGAAAAGAGAAAGGAGTTGACTTCCTATATCAAATGCCAGAGTGGTTTCCAAAAGGATCAATTATTTAAATATAAAAATAAATCCACAAAGTACTAGAAGAAAATTATCTTCTAGGAAAAGAACAGATACAGACTTTTGGTTATTCAGCATCAGAATGTAAGAAATGAGTAAATTCAGTCAGAAATTTCTGCATGGCAGCATCACTTAAAGTTAAACTGAATGATGAACCGGGAACACGCACAACTCTTACACATAAGGAGCCACATTTTCCTAGTTTATAAAAGCCTCCAAAGTTATGAGATCAAAACTCCAAGAGGAAAATGAGCAAAGCACAGCAGCAATTGGCAAAAGAGGAAATACACAGGAAAAGATGCTTAACCATGTTCGTGTTACAGGAAATACAACACTGATATCTACGTTTCCCTATCAAACTGCAAAAATCTACAGGTCCGCTCCCGTGCTCTGTGGTGAGTGCACAGCTTGCTGGGAATCAGTACATCAGTAAAACTGCTATTGGGGGACAATCTGGTGATGTTTTCAAATTCTCAAATCCAAATACATTTGAATAGCTATTGCACCAATAACCCTTGCATGGTGCAAAATGATATATCAAGTTTAATCAAAGGAGGAAAAAATTTAACAAAACACCTTATTCCTTTGATCAGAACTAGCTACATAATTTATAGAACAATTATGTGATATATTGTATGCAGCTATACAAAAGGGGCCAGACCCAGGTGTGAGCAGGGACTGTGGCCATCGTGGTGAAGTCAAGAACCACTTTGAGTCTTGTGGTATCATGCTGTCTATGAATGGAATGATCTCCAAGATATGGCAGGTTTGCAAAACAAGGTACAAAATGCATTTATATAATACTTTGTAAAAGAGGGAATTTGAGATTATGCATTCTGCCTTGTACATGCAAAAAAATGCTGAGAACTAACAGTGGTTACCTGTGGTGAGGGCTGCAGAGAAAACGGGTGGATGGGAATTGAGTAGAGAGAATGGTCACACTGAAGACAGTTTTTATTTATTCAATGATTTATTTTCAAGCCATGTGACTGTATTTCCTATTCAAAAATTAATTTTAGCTGGGCACAGAGGTGTACATCTATGATCTCAGCTACTTGTGAGGCTGAGGTAGGATTGTAAGTTCAAGACCAGTCTGGGCATCTTAGTGAGACATTGCCTCAAGCAAAATTTTTAAAAGTAGGCACGTGTGAGGGCTGGGGATACAGCTCAGCAGCACAAGCACCTGCCTGGCAAGTGCAAGGTCCTGAGTATTCCCAGTACAAGAAAGATAGAAAGAAGGAAGGAAGGAAGGAAGAAAGGAAGGAAGGAAGGAAGGAAAGAAGGAAGGAAGGAAGGAAGGAAGAAAGAAAGAAAGAAAGAAAGAAAGAAAGAAAGAAAGAAAGAAAGAAAGAAAGAAAGAAAAGCAGACTTGTGTCTGTGCGTGTGGTAAAGCACTTGCTTAGCATGCTTGAGGCCAAGGGTTCAATCCCAGTAAAACACACATACACACACACACACACACACACACACACACTCAGGAAGAAAAGTTAAGAAAAAAATTAAAGATACACACAAATAAGCATTGAATTACAACCTTGTAAAAGCACTGGGATGAGAAAGTGCATAGTTGCTGGGCACAGTGGCATATGTCTGTGATCCCAGCACTCGGGAGACCAAGGCGGGAAGATTGTTGTGAGTTCAAAGCCAGCCTGGGCTACAACGTGAGCTCAAGCCGGCCTGAACTACATAAGTGAACTGACCACAGTCCTGATTCACACCTGTCTCAAAAACACAAAGCAAAACAGAGAGAGAGAGAGAGAGAGAGAGAGAGCATATAGTACTCTGACAGCTAAGAATGGAGACCCTGCATTTTCTCCCTATGAAGTTGCATCTGAACTTGTAGCTGATCTCAGGAGTGATCACCCCAGACCTATGGGCAGGAGCAGTCTGGTGAGAACCCAGCCTGTCTGTTAGGAGCATATGGCTGCATGGTCTGAGGGGCTCCTGTTCTGGGGCTTCAGCTGCCACACAGGAGCAGCTGCCAGGGCCAGTCTTTGCCTGGACCCTGGTCAATGAAGAAAAGCAGCACCGTGAGGGAGGAAGTCTGGGAAGTTAGGGAAACTAGGAAAACCCTCACAACTCCTAACAGGCTGCTCTGGCCCTCCAACACCCGGGTTTTCTCCTGGAGGCTTTCTGTGCAGGTGAACATGTGGCTTCTAAGCTGGGAGGACATTGAGTCCAGCTGGTAAACCTCAGGATGATACCACAAGCACTCAAAGTGGTTCTTGACTTCACCACGATGGCCACAGTCCCTGCTCACACCTGGGTCTGGCCCCTTTCCCAAGAAGAGATCCCAGCCCTTTGGTGAGGGCAGAGTAGGCTGCCAAAGGGCGACAGGGAAGAGTCCAAAATCTGCCTGGCCACAGCAAGTTCCTTGTGAACAGGAAGCTTTTAGAGAAAATTGAAAATGAGGAAGGTGGGGGCTGGGGATTTAGCTCAGCGGCATAAGCACCTGCCTTGCAAGCAGGCGGTCCTGAGTTCGATCCCCGGTACCGATAAAAATGAAAAAGACAAAAAAAAAAAAAAAAAAAGAAAAGAAAATGAGGCAGGTGACTTCTTCCCCCTTTCCTATGGCCTCACCTTCCTCACTGGCACAATTTAAAATGCAAAACGCTAAGGTTTCAATGAGCTGCTTTGCCCTGGTTTGGCTAGGAAATCAGTTCACTCTCCAAAGCTCAGAAAGTAAGGAAGTGGGGCCACAAGAGTGCGTTGCTAAGAGACAGGAAACACAGGTTGGGTCAGGGCTGGAGCACCTGCTCCTCACTGTCAGCTCCTGAGACAGTCTCCTCCTCTCCCTGAACTCTGCAGCACAGCGGGTGTGACAGCCAATAAACTACAAGTGCTAAGAGAAGCAAGCCTCCTACATCTCATCCTCAGGGGAGGAAACTGAAATAGACAAAATCCCTGAGCCGAGGAGAGGTGAACCCAGGCAGGCAGGCAAGTGTAGCCTGGGGCATCCCCAGCCTCCTCAGCCTGTCAGGCAGTCCCACCGGCACAGATTGAAGACCACACGCAGGTTTATTACAAACCCCTCATAGAGCCACCAAAGAGGCACGGAAGCTGGGAAACCCTCCTGCAGGGCAGGGAAGCCCCGAGAGCTCCCCCATTTCCTAAAGAAAGCTCAGCCTTTCAACCCCTGGCCCTACCACTACCATTTCCACAAGGGTGGAGGTGACAGAGGAGTCCTCTGAGGTATCACTGTGGCTCAGAACCCTGACAACAAATCGAAGCATCCAGAAGCACTCAGAACCTTGATCTCTAGGTATTTCTGGCCACCCAAAGAGGCAGCTGCTGCTAACCTCCAGACTCAGCCCGCAGTCTGTCATGTGTGGTCTGTGGGTGTCTGATTTTAAGTGTATTTAGGTTTCCCACTGCCACCACAGAGGCCCTCCCTACACTTTCAAGACTGGGGCCACAGCATGGCCAAACAGAGAAAGTCCAGCAGGAGTCAATGGCGCACAGTCTTGGCCAAGTGGTACCTAGGAAGACCCAGGAGACCGCTCTCCTCTCAGGCCTTGGTGTGCTGCGGGGGGACCTGGCTCACCCTTCCCACTGTGCATCTGCTGCCCTGCATGGGAAACCCCATACAAGGACCTGCAAAATGTAAGGCCCTAGGTTTGATTGTCATCGTACACACACACACACACACACACACACACACACACACAGACACACACAGTAATTAATTAATTAATTAAATTTTTAAAAAATTTCAGAATAAGTCAGAAGTTAATTAGGTTGAATATCTCCTCAATGCTTATTTATACTTCAGCAGTGACTGACAGCTGACCACTATGAGAAATTAAAACCAGGGAGCTGCTGCTTACCAGTTACCTACCGATTAATTAGAAATGAAGCATTTTTTTCTGGCATTTTCTAAGAGGAACTATTGTTCCCAGAACCTCTCTTTGCACTTCTGCAGCTACTGGAAGCAGAACTGAAGGGGGACCTGCACACGCCCCGCCATCCACACCCTGAGCACGGTACGTGCAGCGGAGAGCAGCACCCAGCAGCCCTCACTGCCCCTTATTCCACTGCTCCCCTGACAGGGCTTCCACAGTCACCACCACCCCACAGGAGTCCAGAGAGGCAGGACTGGGTCCTGGCAAAAAAGAAAATACCAGCTCCCAGGCTTCTGTTTGCCATGCATTTGAACTAAAACTTTCCACATAAAAGCTGGGCCTGCCAAGGCCAGATGGAGAAGGAATGAGCTTGGGGCATCAGCAGCAGCATCCCGGGGCATTCAGAATCCCTTTCCTGAGAGCCAGATCCTGAGGATGGCCAGGCAGGGGCTGACCCAGGAGCCAGAGCAAGGCTCGGCCCCCAGAGGCTGTGCAGCTGTCAGGCCAGCAGCTGGTACACACCACAGAGGGGCTCCCCACACATTCTCAGGAAGCTTACTCTAGCAAGAACAAATTTTGGAAAACAAGCTGAGAGATTTGGTCCATCAAATCATAATAATCATTCTAGTTACCATTTATTTAGAGCCACCTATCTGTAAGGCGCTTCCTGAATAATCTCTCATTTAAGTCTTACTACCATGAAAATACTTATGGTCACTTCCTCACTCCAGATAATAAAGTGAAAGCTCAAAGGGACTGAGATGCCGGTGCCCAGGAGGTGGGAATGGAGGGTAACAGCTGTCTGTGGGATCAGGGCTGTGTTCTTCCACAACCTGGCCCCCAAGTGCCAAGACCTGTGGAGGGGCAACAAGAGTGGATCCTCCCATCTTGGTCCACCTGTTCCAGCCCTACCATCGCCCCAGAGCTTGCTTCCCCACATTCTTACGTGGCCAAAGGGGTCCAGGTGGTTGTTCGTCAACTTTAGCTTCTGGAAAGAGACCAGCTGTCGCATCCAGTGGGCCCCGGTGGCAGGAGAATCCGGATGGACATATAGCCTTCCTGGCATGGCCGGCTCGGCCTTTCCAGCCACCATCCTGCCAACAGAGCAAACAGAGCAGCAGCAGTTGATTACACTGGGGTCTGGGAAGCCCTAAATCTCTGTCTCCTCTAAGAGCAAATCCCAAATGACCAGGAGGACAAAAACAGCTGCTGCCCTCACACCTTCAATCCAGGACTCAGGGTAGGAAGGAGGACAGGGGACAGAGTCCTGGGGGAAGGCGGCAGTGCGGGACCTCTTCTACTGCACTGCAGGAGAAAAATGGGAGGTTATGGGAGAAACGTGAACGTTTATTTGAAGGACTATGGCTATTCACAGACACTGGGGGATTTGGGCACCCTTGTGTTTCATTGATTGATTGATGGGTTCTGGTAAAACCCAGGGCCTCATACATGCTAGGCAAGCACTCTACCACTGAGCTACATCCTTGGCCCATAAATTTCTAACTTTCTTTCTTTCTTTCTTTCTTTTTTTTTTATCGGTACCAGGGATCGAACTCATGACTCTGTGCTTGCAAGGCAGGCACTTATGCCACTGAGCTAAATCCCCAGCCCCAGATTTCTAACTTTCAAATGTTATAAATTGGGTTAGTTAGAAGGAGCTTCTCAAAGGACTTAGAACACTTGTAAACTGGTTGCCCCCAAAATGTAGTCTGAAATTAACTGGTAGCTGATCCCTCAGCCAGAGCCTGCTCTGAGTTCTAATTTGACTTAGAAGGAGAAGAAACAGAAACATGGATCTTGCCAGGGACCGACCACCAAATCCTGCCTCCTCAGCCCCATCTCTGAGCTGGGAGCTCTGGCCTGCTAGTCCTCTAGTCCGTGCTAGAGGGTTCTGTCACCACCACCCCTCAGAAGCAGCCTTATTTGGTCTGAAAATGGGCACACAGCCTGAGAGGGGTGCACTCTGCAGCCAGGTGAAGAGGACATGAGCCAGTAGACAAGAGAGCCACCACAGGTCCCGTATCAATCCAAGCTATGAAAGACCTCTCAGAGAACGCATCCTTTTCCCTAGTGAAGCACTCACAGAGCCCAAATCTGCCAGGCATTAGTGCTTTTTTCAGCATGTAATAGCATGGGCACCAAGTCTCAGCTGTCTAGCAGACTCTGGCCGCCCCTCTCCCTCTGCAGACCTGGCACAAGCAGTGGATCCGAGGCTGCGGATCTGGGCAGTCACTCAGGCTAGCTGGGGGTCCCTGCACTTAACTTGGGGGGGGGGCATTTGAGGAAAACCGGGTCCCAAGCCTCTTACCATTTATTGTCACAGAACTTGTACCGATGGTCATCTGCAGGGACGATGTCAATCAGCAGGATGTACTTAGTCTTGGGGTTCATGCCGGTGACTTTTACCTTGTAGCTGGGGAACATCCTCCTGGTGGAGCCAAGGGATTGGGCAGAGCATGGACAGCACCGGGAGAGATGGTACATAGTGAGCAAGGGACAGACAGTGGACTCTTAGCAAGAGATCCTGGTCTTCTTGGGAGCTGCGTGACTTTTCCCTTTGCACTGGCTGCCCTGCAGGGGGCTTGCCTAGCTACTTTCTCCAAGCCCTGCCATCATCAGTATGGAAAGACACTACCAAAAAATCTTCATCTGCTACCTGTGAAGCCTGGAGACCTTGGTCAGGATTTAGAGATGAGATCTCAACACCAACCTAGCGGCCTGAATTTCCCTCCTGCCCTTTGCTGGTCCATACACAGCTCAAACTCTAGGGTGCCATTATAGGATGCCAGAGCAGATGACTGGAAGCCCCCATCAGCTGCCTCCATAAACAGTGGGATGTCCCCTCTGGGTCAGGTCTGCTGGAAACCTTCAAGCTTAAACCAACATCAGGAGACAGGAGGGTGCTCTGAAAACCCTGACAGGTCTAGACTCTCCCAGTGTGAACAGCGGTCCTTCCCACCGTGAAGTTTGTGCGCCCAAACTGGGAATCAGGAGAGTTAGTGCAGGAGCTTCATGTACAACAGCATGGATTCTGAAGCCACCCTTCCATGAACCCAGCCCTGCCTACCACTGACGCCCCTGAGGCCTTAGGCAACTTGCTTGGGTCTCTTCACACCTTGGTTTCCTTATCTTAAAGTTAGGATAAAATTACTACCTATCTCCTTGATATCTGGGTGGACTACCCGAGTCAGTTTATGACTATTACCACCAAACCCTGTTCCATTTCACTTCCACAAGTATCGCCTACTTCTATGGAAATGGATTCACAGAAAACAAAGAAATGTTCTCCACTTTTTACAGCTTATACTGAGGCTGTCCAGGACCCTGAGGCTCAAGGAACATTCTAGAGAAGGACCTCCACAGAACCCCTCAGTGCACACACAGCAGCCCCTACACATGCTGCAGGGCCACGGCTCCCTCCCCTGGTCACCGGTCCCTGACACTGGGCTTCACCAGAACAGATCAGGCAGAACCTCCCCACATGGCCTCTCCAGGATCCCCGCTCCTTCCTCACATTCCACAGAAGTGATTCTCGGAGAGAAGCAGGATCCAAACCTAACTGAAGACACTTAGGAAACCACTGCCCAACCAGACCACTCCAGGGGTAGGTGGGTCCCCTGCCTCTCCAACCCAAGACAGAACGGGGAGCCTCCTGAGAAGCTGCCCTGGACATCTCCAACAGATTAGCATCCCCGCTTTGTAGACAAAGGGTACTAGCTTACCTGGTAGGGCAGGGTTTCCAGAAAGGATCAAGCCACCCCCCCAGGACCCTGAGCGGGAGGGCTGCATTCCACCCCAGCATTGCCCTGTCCAGCCTGTGCCCGGCTCCAGCTGCAGGGGAGGCGCAGCATACTGCTGGGACATGTGTGCCCGCCTGGGCGCATGTGCATGAGGGTGAGGTGCAAGTGCGCATGTGTGCATGTGTGTGCCTGCCGGGTGCGGGCAGTTCCAGCCGCAAGTCTAGGGACTTATAAACCGTATGGAAGAATTTGTCTCAGATGTCAACTGAAAGCATTTTCAAATGTCCACCCCACCCCCTCTTCAAGGATGGGGGAAGTGAGAGGGCTCAGGAACCCAATCCTGCCTACCTCACACCAGGCCCCTGCCCGGCCTAGGGGTACAGCTGGAGCTTGCACCACCCTCCATACTGGCCCTGCCTCTGACTTGGTGGATCTAAAGCTGACGGGCCAGGCAGCAGCTGCCTGTCTCCCTCCTTCCTCAGGGAAGGCCAAGAATCTTGCCCCCTCTTGGTCACCATTTTGTAACTGCTACAGAATCAGCTGCAAAATGGGGTTAGTATTGATTATGCTTTGGCTGGCTTGGCACCAGAGGCCTGCTTTTAGGCTAGTTCTCCTGTAATCACCCCAGAGAGCCACCTCCACAGCCACAGCAGAGAGCAGCCATTGCTTCCCTCCAGAGTCAGGACCTACACAAAAGGCCAGGAGGAAACGCCTGGCTGTCACCTCACCCATTTTAAAACCTGGCGAAGGAGGCTGAAGGCCTCTCTGCCCTTCTCCTTCCCCTCTCTATTGTACCTTGCCTCAGCAGCTCCGAGCATGGGCAGATGCTGACTGAGTGCTTTTTAGAAGCCCCTGAGGAGCCTGTGCTCTGGCTGGAGGAGGGTATCCAGGGATCTGGCCCTTCCTGGAAGCTGACCATGAACCAGATCGATGATGGATGACAGCCTCCGAGGGGCCCTGAGGCTAGGATGGCAGCTCCTGCCCTCTGCTCCTCTGCCCACCAATCCCCCTCTTCCTAAGGCAGCAGCTGGTATTTTATAAGGAAGGGTAGCTGGGTATCTGGTCTGAATGGCTAGCTCCAAAAGGCAAGCTAGGGTGGTATCCTGTAATCCCAGTACTCTGGAGGCTGAGACAGGAGGATCACTTCGAGTTTTAAACCAGTCTGGGCTACATGGCAAATTTAGAGCCAGCCTGAATTATACAGCCAGGAGCCTGTCTCAACAAAATAAAACAAAACAGCACACACACCCCTGCTGCAGGCTGACCTGGCTGGCTCGAGCTCCATTGCCTTCATGGACGCACATGAGCAGGTCTCTAGCAGGGTTCAGTTTGGGGACTGTTTCTGGACTGCATGGAACAACACCGGGGTGTGGCATGGGGAGACTAAGCACTATCATTTCCCCATCTAGATGGCTCCAGCAGGGTGAAGGGCCGGCCCAGGGTGGAGGAAAAGCAGTGTGTGAAGGCGAAGTGCATTTCCGTCCATGCCATGAACATCTGCCCTTGGTCACCCAGAGGGCCAAAAGCTTAGGTTGGGGATAGTCATCGGTCCACATGACTCTGGCCACCAAGACTGGGCTATGCTTGCTGGTTGTGACTTCCTCTGGGCTCTCCTGGCAACGTAAAGGTCTTCACTAATGAAACATATGAAACCATGGAATGAGCCCTAAGTTATGGCTCTGATTTATGACATAAAATGTACCTGAAAACCAACACCCTGTGTGGAAAGGACCGCCCCCCTGTGCTGGGGAGGGGGCTAAGAAGCCAGCGCACACCAGGCTGTCTCCCTCGCAGGCTGTCACTGGCCCGCACTGGCCCGGCTCTGTCCCCGGTCCCGCACTGCCCTGAGTCTCCCCAGCGCCTTCTCGCCGCCACGTGCCCAACCCCAGACAAATGGGAGCTCCCCCACAGCACCCCATCCACCAGGGGGATAAACAAGCTGCCTGAGCCGCGCCCCCCGGCAGCAGATGAAAGCCCGTGTCTCTGTGATCCTGAAACCGGCTCCCAAGGAGTGCGGGGGCCAAAGCCTTTATCAGCCTCAAATGCGGAAACGGTTTTAGAATGAATTGCTAAGCTTCCTCCGGGGTCAGAGCTCCCAGGGCTGGGGTGAGGGTTTAGGGGCATCCTGATGGGGGCCACAAATCTGCAAATGCAAATGCAAAGTTACAGCCCAGAGGAAACCAGCCGCCTGGGCTGGGCTGGAGAGCCACCGGCTCTGGGTGGAGGCCTCTGTCAAACTCAAGGTGCTGACCTTCTTGGCCCCCTGCCCAGGCCGGGGGAGCCGGCAGAGAGCAGCAGACGTAGGGGCTCCAACCCCAGCTCCATGAACCCCGATTTCCCTCAGAGCCTCCAGGAGCTGCTCCGTGTGCCTTCACCTAAATGAGGCACAAAACCAAAGGCTGAGGAGCCCCGAGAGTGGTTTCCAGACCATCAGCAGTCACGGTGGTGGGGAGGGCCCCCAGGAGGCCTTCTGGGGGCTCCCGAGGTTTTCTTCCTTTATCTGCATGTGTGTTCGTTTTGAAAAAAATCTACAGACTTCAGAAATATTCCACTTCAATAAAATCGGCATTAAAAATCACATATGCTTATACCCACATGTTTTGGAGCCCAGCATCTAAAGGAAAAATAAAAGTCCTGCAGGGAACATGCAGGGGTCTCCTGGAAACCCCACCCATCTTGGGTGACTAGGGGTCTTCCGGAGGCCAGAGCCAGGCACAAGGCTGAGGTTAGGGTGGGACTTGTGGGTGCTGCTTATCCTGGAGCCAGATGATTTCCGAGATTCCCGCTTCACACATGCAAGAGTCTTCTAATTCACCCGGAGCATTTTTAAGACATATTTTCCCTGAGGGGAGGGGCAGGCTGAGGGTGTGTGAAATGGATGTTGTTTGGGAAGGTCAGTTGCTTCTCTTAGATTTTTTAAAAGGCACTTCCTTCTGATGGACTTTTGCTTTCAGAAAATACTTTAAGACGAGATCAAAGCTCTCTCTCCCCAGCCCACTTTCCCAGTGTCTTCAGCCCTTATTTCTCTTATCATCCGCGCCACTGGGCTCTGACGCTCTGTATACAGATGGAGGGCAATTGGCTTTGAAGCCCCGGATCAAGCCAGGCCAAATCCTTGCCTCAGAATAACAAACAATACAGGTTCAACAGGAGTTCTCATCGGTAGTTCATTTTTCAAACGCAAATTCACTGTCACTAACACAAGCAACATTGAACTCAACAGGCTCTGAAGGCTGATAGCGGAGATTTATCTGGTGGCAGAGCCATGACCTGGGAGGAGGGCAGTCAGACAGTTAGGAAATTTTCATATTTGCGAGGTTTATATTTGAATTTTTGTGGCGCTCACTTTTATCTGTGTTTGGGAGAAAATGCACTTTCTCATATGCATCAAGCCTGGCAGGGATACACAAAGTCTGCTCTGGGTATGGAGGCCTGGGAGGCGGGGGAGGGGGGAGAGCCTGGCTGGGGAGGGGCTTGGCCCTGTTTCACGCCTGACATAGGGGGTCCTGAGTGGTTAGAAACTGGTATTTTGTCCTGTGGTTGGCATTTTATTCATCAGATGCAACTGATAATTTAATCACTGTCCAATAAAGGGCTGCTTCTGTCTTTAGCCTTCAGTCTTTCAAGGTTGCTGTGGGCATGGGCAGGAGGCTTCTTATAACCCAGGAACTCAAACTGGCTTGATAACATTCTAGGACCCCTTTCTGCAGAGCCCCATCCTCCTACAGCCAGACAGCAATAATCACATCCCCAACTACCCAGACAGGCAGGACAATAACTCCACATGAAACAGGGCCCTGTAAAAACTTAGGGTCTTGAGCTGGGTGTTGTGGCTCGTGCCTGTAATCCCAGCACTTGGGAGGCTGAGGCAGGAGGATTGCTACAAGTTTGAGCCCAGCCTGGGCTGCATAGCAAAACTTTGCCTAAAAAAGGGGGCTTTTGTTCTGGGGGTGAGGTGCATCATCTGCTTGGCTTGTGTGGACTTGGCAACTGCCTGACTTCCCTTCTCTGGGGTTTGGTTTATGTTCTCTTGGTTCCCTTCCAGTCCTTGTAGTCAAGGAATCTATGATTCAAGGTTCAGCGGAGAGGTTCAAGCTATCTGCTGAGAAATGAAAGTCTCCAAGGAGGAGAGAAGCCGGAAAGCGCTTAGATAGATGCTGAGGAGCCACAGGCCTACATAAAGCAAGCTGCAAAGCCCTCGCTCACTCACTCAGCGATCAGAATAATGAAAGTGGGTTCCAAAGACAGACACAGTAGTGTACACCTGTATGCTCAACTACACAGGAGGCTGAGGCTGGAGGACTGCAAATTCAAGGTCAGACTAAGGAATTTAGGAAGACTCTGTCTCCAAATAAACAAACAAGCAAACAAAGAATATGGCTAAGTGGTAGCTTGTTCCTGGGTTCACTATCCAGTACAGAAAAAGAAGAAAGTGGCCTGTAAAGGACAGAGAAGAACCAAAGTGGTGGTGCATGCTTGTAATCTCAGCATTTTTGGAGGCTGAGGCAGGAAAATTGCAAGTTAGAGCCCAGCTTGGACAATTTAGCCACTTAGGAATACCCTGATTAGAAATGAAAAGGCCTGGGAATGTACCTCAATGAGAAGGCTCTGGGTTCAATCCCCAGTGACACACACACACACACACACACACACACAGAGTAAGCAACTATGCAAGCGAACTACAAGGGTTTGGGATGGGATGAGGGTAGCAGCTCTAAGAACCAGACCTGTGTGAGGATAACTTCCTCCCAGAAAAATGAAAGAGCTGCACCTGGCCAGCACCATCACAGGAGGTTTTAAACTATGAACGTCACTAGCTGAGGCCCAGCTCTGAGCTTCCCCCAGGACCAGGCACAAGCATCCAGCCTGAAGCTGCCCTCCTCTGAAGTACAAGAGGATGCACTGGGAGTAAGGAGAAAAGAGGACCCACCAGGCAGAGGAAAACCCCCGGGGAGAGCCACAAATGCCTTTTGCTTAAAATGGACCAGCCAGCCACACCCAGAGAACCTAGGGACATTTATTTTCAAGAGACAAGGTTGTTTCTGCTGCCTAAAAATGGAAATGCTGGAATTTCTATTTCTTCTTTCCTCTTTCCATCTGACATAAAACAAGAAAAACAGTTGCCGCTATGCACCTGTAACCTACTTGACAATTTACGCAGCACCATTCACAGGATTCCCTGTTTTGAGTCTCACAATCACCAGGAAGGAAGGCGAGTGGCACATCCACACTCATCTGGTGCGGTGGAGTTAGAGTTACCAGCTTGCTGAGCGGACTCGGTCAGGACACCTGGACCTCTTCCTCAGCAGCTGCTCCTTGCTGACCCACTCACTGCCAAGCCCTGCTGCATCCTCCTTCCTCTTCCCCCAAACCAGCTTCTCAGCCCTGAAATCAACCTGCCTGCCGCCTCGATGGGGGCCGGGTGAATGACCTTACCGGCTCCCTGCCCAGACTCTTCCCTCCACAAATAGAGAAACTTTAGGGCTCACCCTGTGAGCACAGACAGGAAGAACCACACCACCCTTGAGGCATCCAGCAAACCACACCTTTTGCTTCTTTTTAATGGTGCTACGCTAAGCAGATGGAGTGGGGAGGAGGCAGAGACCTTTGTGTCCCTGGTCTGCAGGTCTCCGCACATGCAAGTAGCTGAGTTGGAATTGGAACACTGTCACTGTCCCCACTGCGGTCAGACCATGGAGAGTTCACCATCTTCCTCCCGGGAAACCTCAATTATGGACCCACAGCCAAGCAGAGGGACAATCTCACATCTCAGCTGTCCCCAGGGACCAAACTCAAGCGTGCGTATGTGGAAGGGGCACAGGCAGAGGGCAGATTCCTAAACCTGGACCTGCCATGTCTAAGGCAGCCTCCCTTCACCTGACAGCGGCCTCCTGGCTGTCCCTGCCCCACCCCGTGAATCTCTGTCAGCCCCGGCGGCCTCTTCCTCCTCTCTCCTCCCTATTCTCTCCCACAGACACCGGCACATTTTAAAGATGTTTCCACTTTATAAATCACTCCTCTCTGGCAGCCACCCCACGGCTGCTCCCCCAGCAACACGAACTTCATGCCCAACGGTACCTTCCCTTTGCAAGGAGCTGGAAACAGGAGCAGCACCTCAAGGAGAAATTTGGGGTTTGCCCTATTGAGGGAGGTAGGCTACTGGGAATAAAAAAAAGCATACTTGTATCCTTCCCTGTTTACCGTTTTCTGAGGACTATCTCCTAGTCCCCAACTCAAGCAATAGGAGAGCCCCCTCCTGCTCCCCACTACTTCCCTAAAGAGAGGACAAAGCAACCCTACAGGGGGCCAAAAGTGCTGGCTGCCATGCTACTGGGGGTCACATTTGTTTGCATATCATTTGCATATTACTTCCCCTCCCCTCGAGCGTCTGGGCTGCGACCCCCAGAGAAATACGCAGCTTCTTCGGGTTTTAGCAGCCCGATCCCGAGCCACTTCGAGGTGTGGATTTGAGACCCAAGTGGCAGATAAACTCCCGCAGGCCCCCCGGGTCCGAAACATAGAGGACTTCTCGGAGTCCCCGGGTCTGATCCACCTCGCTCTCCGCCCCCAAGTAATCTCCAGCGCTAACCTGCCCGCCTTGGTGATGATCATCTCCGTGCCCGCCTCGTGGAACTTCTTCCAGAGCTCCTTCTCGTGCAGCCCCACCTTGATGTTCTCGATGGTCTGGGGACAGGAGGGAGGGAGAGGGGCTCGCGGCTGACTGGCCGGCTCCGAGTGGAGCTTGCGGAGGAGAGCGCGGCCCGACCCGGAGAAGCGCGCAGACCCCGCAGCGCAGGACCCCGCGCCTCCTGATTTCGTTTCGCAAAATGATTTTGAACCAATGGTGACTTTTAAATTTTTAATCAGTGGTTCAAACTCCCTCCTTCGGGGTGCAGCTCAGGTGGGCCCGCAGAGGACCCACAGTGACCGCGCCATCGTGGACCGCACGCCCCTGCACAAACTTCGAGCCTCCGCTGGCCGTGGCCACAGGCCTGGGGCGACCCGCGGACGGGGGAGAGGCCAGGGCGAACCCCCCGACGGGCGCCGCTCGTCACGGGGATCGTCCGCGCGACAGGGTTGTCGCAGGAGGCCTCGCAGCCTGCGCCGCCCCTGCACGCACCGGCGAAGTGGCTCACCGCGAGGTTCCGGGCCGTCGCCTCTGCCCTCGGGGCCCTCGGAGCTGGTGCTTGGCTCCGCTGGCTCTGCGGCTGCAGGGTGTCCCGCCCGCCCGCCCGCCCGCGCCCCAGCAGCCCCGACGTGTCCAGGTGGAGAACGGCCCTGAGAGCAGGGGGCGCCAGCTGCGCCCCGCAGAGGGGCACAGGCAGCGCGTGGACGCAGCCGCCCCGGAACGCGGTGCAGCCTGCACAGCCGGTGACTCGCGCGGGCCGACAAACCGACGCCAGTGTGCACCGCGGGATGGTGCAGCCCTACCTGCTCGGCGGCGGCGGCGGCGGCGGCGTCGGTGCCCGGGCCCCGGGGGCTACCGAGCGCGGCTCCGCTGAGGCCGGGCGCTACCAGCGCGGGCTCCGGGGCGGTGGCGGCACTGCCCTCGCCGAGCGCTGGGCCGGGGGCCCGGAAGGCCTCCTCGCTCTCCGACAGGCCCTTGTCCTGCAGCATCTCCTGCGGGCACAGCACGCACACGTTACTCGCCCGGGTCCGCACTGGCCAGAGGCCCCACGGCCCTCCCGATCGGAGCTGAGGGCTTGGTGCGTGCGGGGTGTGGAGGCGCCCTGGGCACGTGGACCCCGCCCCCTTCTGAGTCTGGGGGTGGGGTGCTGCATGCGGGAGGGCAGGACCCTCACCTCCTCCCTACGGATTCTGGACCTGGGAGGGTCTGCCTGCCCCTGGGTGTGGGGCTGCGTGATGAGTGGGCCTGGGGGAAGGACCGCCCTGTTAGCACAGCCCCAGCTATACTCCCAGTCCCTCCCTCCTGCTGGGCTGCAGTGGCCTGGGTCTTCCTGGTCCTTCCGGGATAACTGGGCTTCAGGCCTCACTTTTGGCCCACAGCAGTGAGGACCCTTTGGGGCTGGAGCAGAGGAGAGGCAGGCACAGAGGGAGGGCCTGGGCTTTCGCAGTTGCACACCTACAGAGGGTGAGAGCTGGGGAGCCCCTGAGTCTCTGCTTACTCTGTGTCCTCCTCACCCATGGCCTCAGATGGCACCTCAGGTGGACACTTCCTGACCAAAGGCTTGGCTCCTACATTCCCACTGGGGTTCACATCCTCACAGGAGGACACAGCACCCCAAAGAGGCCACCTCCTCTTGGCCTCACCTAGAGCCCCTCTGGTCCAGGCCCTGAACCTTGCCAGGGCCTTCCCCAGCCTGTCGGCACATTCATACCCACTGGCTCACCCACTCACACTCTAGTACCAGGGGGCTCTGCTTGGGGCCAAAGGACCCAGACCCTTCCTAGCTGAGGACCAGGCGAGTAATATGGCTCCAGCTCATAGGCACAGCCTAGTGTAGGCCTATTTACCCACCCACCCTTGTAACTGCTCCTTGCCTGCAGCTGGTCCTGGGACACCAGGAGAAAAATCCAGCTTGCAAGGACCAGCATCCCCTAGGAGGGGTGCAACCCTGCACCATCTCTGCTGCTCTCCCTACCTCCCTGGTTGTCTACCGTCCGGATCTGGCCAAGTTCAGGTGGGCTTTCTGTGTGTCTGACTGCCTGTCTGCTTTGAGGCACAGTGTCTCTCTCTTCTCCTGCTGTTTCGGTTCTCCCCTGGATCTCCCAGCCTCCCCATCCTGAGTTTAGAGTCAGGCTCCCAGGGCCGGCAAAGTAAACAAGCCAAGTGCAACCAGGAGATAAAAAGGGGCCGGGGCCGCTGGGGCTGGGAAAAGCCCATAAAGATAAGCCTGACAGCCAGGCGTCCTCAGCCACTGCCAGCGGGAACGGGGCTCCCGCCGGGACAAGGCGGTCCCCTGACACCCACCTTAGGCCACATGCGGTTGCGGCCCAAGCCCGCAAACCAGGGCGGAGGGCGGAGGGGAGGGAGGCCAGGGACAGGGTGTTGCACGAAGAGGGTAGGGTAGCGCCCCTCACGCCAAAGCTCCCCCTCAATCTGGACCCTGGCCCGGATGGGCTCCCCCATGGGCGGCTCCTAGGCGCGGCGGTGCTCGGTGCGGGTCGGTCGGGAACCTGGCTACCAGTTCCTGTGCGGGGCACTTGCCACATCCAGAGCCGCACACCCTTAACCCCGCCGAGTGCAGGGCACAACCGCGGACCCGGGTCCCCTGCGCTGCGCTCTCCTTCCCTTCCTCGGGCTCACCTCCTCATTTTCGGGACTACCGAGCCACAGCTCACCCTCTCCGGAGCGCCCAGCCAGTGTCCTTCCCCCCACCCCTACCCCGAGCCGCGGTCTCCAAACTCCCCTGGACCCCGAGTCCTCCACCCCTCATAGGGCGCGTTCGGGTCCCCGCACCCCGTCGCGGTCTGCGGCCGGAGCCCAGCGCTTTGCCCTGCACGTCGGGCGCGGGCGCGGCCAGCCCTGCTCCCTCGGTGCCCGGTGCTCGGTGCCCGGTGCTCGGTGCCCGGTGCTCGGGCGTGTGGCCGTCGGCTGCCTGCTCTCCCGAGGACGACAGGCAGCACGTTTCTTTCCACTTTTAGTCCTATTTTTCTAACTAGGAAAAATGTTACTATTTTGTACTACTTTTAACATTTTAATTGTCCCAACTTTCAGAGTAATATGAGTTCAGTAACGTTAAGTGTATTTACCCTAGCATGTGAACTGTCGACACTTTTTAATAACGCGTGGTTAAAGCACCGGTTAGATTCATTAGTTTATCAGTATTACATACCTTGTCGTTGCTTTCCTGTCACGGTTTCAGCATTCCAGGGAACCCTCCCACATTAGTAATACTGTTGCCAATATCCAGGTAATTGGATTCCAATAGGTCATGTTAATCTCTCATTTAATTTTACTCTGTATCCCAAAATGTTTCCATTTCTAGCTCTTCATTTTGTTAGATTTTGTCATGCCTTTTGAATAACATTTTATTTCCACAATTTGCAATAACATTGTTCTCAATATTCATGTTAATTCTGTTAATCCTTAGAGTATTTCTCATTATCTAACCATAATTTGTTTTATTAGGATTGCTCCTACTATTCTAGGTAATATTCTTCATCACGCCGTTATGATTTCTTGTTACTTTGTCATTATTTGTAATGTTACAGATCTTAATTCGCTTGTTATTTTTCATCACATCATTACTTCTTGCTACTTTGTCATAACTTGTAATATTGCTGTAGTTCTTAGTACTCTGATTATTTTTCATCACGTTGTTATAATACTGCTTGTTACTCAACCATTATTTATAATGTTATTTATAATACCTTGATCATAAATTGTTATATTACTCCAGCAATTCTTATTATTGTGTATTTATATTGTTATTGCTCTTGAGATTTTGCTATTTATTTTGATATTTCACTATGGTGTCAATAATACATTATTCGATAGTATTCTATCAATGCTATTTCCCTCAACAGTAATTTTAATTGTTCATCTTTTCCTACAGTTTACTTCTTACAGTTACCTGTAGTTTAGTACTTTGTTACATCATTGTTACATATTATACAATTGCTATTGATTGTAATTCACTAGTTCTTACATTGTTTCTATATCTGGAGTTACTTTGCTTTTTAATCCTTATAAATTATGATTACTATTTTCACTTAATTTTTAAAGTAACTATTATTGCATTATTTTGAAGTGCAAATGTTGTATCAGGAAGGCAGTTTAACCTTGTTTCTTTGGTAATTGCTCACATTCTGATAATTTTTGATCGTCGATCATTTTTAAGCATAAAGTTCCTTGATTTAATTTTAACAAGTCTTTTGTGTCAAAGGCTCTGAAATCCAGTGCTCCGACCGCTCACACTTCTTCATCTTTTTTCACTGCCAGTGCCCCGGCCATTTTCCTTTTCTTATTCTGCAAATACCAATTTTAAGGACACCGCTGCTCCGGCCGCAGTTTAACCTTGTTTCTGTGGTGCTGGCTCTGTCCTCCCTGTACTCTGCAGTCCCTAGACCCAATTAGTCCGGTTAACGGAAAGGAGGACTCGCGCCTCAACCTCCGGGCGTCCCGCGCGGCTCCCGCGACCCGAGGGCTCTCGCGCCTGCCCTCCCGCAGCCTTGGCCGCGGGTGTCCTCACCCCGGTCGCTCGCAGCACTCGCCCCTTTGCAGCCCCTCTTCCTCAGCCCACCCTGCAACCCCGGAGTCCAGGTGCCCCAGCACCACCCCGCTCACCCCAGCCCACTGGAACCGGCACTCACCCTAACTGAGCTGCCACATGCAAAGACGCCTGCGGCCCGAGGTCCGCCGCGGCGCGGGCAGGAGAGCGCGGCTCCGACTCCGGCCGGGCTCAGGGTCTCTGTGGCCGCCGCGCCCTCGGGGCCCGGCGCATCCCCGCTCCGAGCGGGCCCTTGATCTCCGGGGCTGCACTTGGGGCCTCAGCTCCCTGCTCCTGCTCCCTCCTTCCCGCCCCCCCCTCTGACGTCGCCGCTGTCAATCAGCCCGCGCCCGCCGCCCCCCGGGGAGGGGGCTCCGGGGTCCCCGGGGCCCCAAACCCCGAGCGGGCCGCCAGGTCCTGCACCGCGCGGCCTGGTCCCCTCCCTGCGGCCCCGGCACCCCGCCGCCCGGGTAGGGGCCGGCTCATGGTTTAGATTAGGGAGGAGGCGAGGGCGCGTGGCCCGGCCGCCACCGGGGTGCACGGTGAGGACCGCTCCCGGCCGGGCCCGGCCCGCCGCGGACCCCGATCCGCCAACCGCTTGCTGCCCCAAGCACCGCGGATTCAGCCCATTTCCTCGGGGTCGCAGACGCACGAGCACCTCGCAGCCCCATGCGCCCCATCCTCCAGGCCCACCCCAGTCCTCACACCTGCAGGCTCGGCCACTGGGCACGGCCCCGCTGTCCCCTTCCCCTGCTTTTCCCAGCCCAGGGTGCGGACGCCGGCTCGGCCTGGCGCGCCTTGGAGCCGGCGGGCTGAGGTCACCGAGGAGGGCAGGGAGGAGGCCCGGTGGCCGGGCCTGGAGCAGCGGCGCCGGCGAGGTGCTGGGCCAGCCTCTGAGTCCAGGCCCAGGCCCGGCTTGAAGGCGGCTCGAAGGTGCCAGGCTTGGCAGAGCCTTTGGGGGAAACTGCATCGAGGGCCAGGACTCTGCCAGCAGGTCCGTGGTCCTGCGGAGCTGAAGAGAAGCCCAGGGCCTGCTACTGCAGTCCAGAAAGCTGAAAAGGAAGACGAGCCCTGCTTGGAGCCTGTGACCCCCGTCCCTCAGAAAAACAGCCCAGCTCAGTCGCCTGGATCTCTGTGCCCCAGCATGCTGCCCTCTGGTTCCACTTACCTCCACTACCTACTGCTTTGTCTGTCTGTCTGTACCACCCCACAGGCCCTGAGGATCCACAGGCAGGCAGATCCATGGTGACCTCCATGGTGCCTGGCCTCACAGCCTGTCAGATGCTCAGAGCACTGAGGCTGTGGCACACCTGCCCACCCATCCTCAAAGGCCCCTGAATCAACCTGGATTCCTAGATTGTCCCTCAGTTCTCAGCATGTGCTATATCCCTCCCTCCACTAGGGTCCCCAAGCTCCCAGTCAGCCACTTCTCCAGATTCCGATCACAAAATCAGATTGAAGGTGCGGGCAGAGGTCTGTACCTTTTCTAACACCAGGATCAAGGCAGCCGGCATCTACACCTCCCTCCCTGGTCTGCACCCAAAGGAGAAAGAAAAACAGAGGCTCAGAAAAGCCAGCTTCTGCCCTCAGGGGCCTGTGACCCAGCCCGTGGCTCCAGAATCTCTACCACCTCCAGCCACCAGATCTCTGGACCCCATCTTCCCTTCCCTGACTCTGCTGGCTCCCAGAGTGCAGAAGCTTAATCCTGCCCCAATCCTGCCTTCTCCTGGAATGGAGAAAGGAAGCCCCAGTGTTTCAGAAGATGACTTGGGAGTCGGGGCCTGTGTCAGGGAGAACTGGATGACAGGCCTCAGCTTCTTCTCCCTCGCCTCCTCCTGTGCCCTCCAACAGCTTGGAGGAAATTCCTGGAAACGAAAAGTGGATGGGCCAGCTACCAACTGCAGTGGAGAACTGGTGAGCAGCGAAGGCTGTAATCACCAGGTACTGGCGGAAGACTAGAGTGAGGCCAGACTCTGGAAAGAATTGGTTGACAGTCATTGGAGGAAGTTCATATGGGGACCATGCAACATCGCTCTTAAAAATAATACTAGACTAGAGCTTCTCTGTAAGTGCTAGTCTTCCTGGAGACCCGCAGGAGACAGTTTAAATCACTATCTACCGATTCATTATGATGTGGAGGAGAGAGATCTGGAGGGGCAGACAAAATTTTGGCAATGAAAAGGAAGTGGCAGAGCAGCCAGGAAGTAAAAGAGAGGATGAATACAGATTCTCCATCACGAGAGAGAAGGGAATACCTCGTCTTATTAACTCTGACACACTTCTCACATTTTGACATCGCTGAATTTTGTTTTTGTTTTTGAGACAGCGTCTCACTATATAGCTCAAGGTAGTTTTAAACTCACTATGTAGCCCAGGCTGGCCTCAAACTTGCAGTGATCCTCCTGCCTCAGCCTGCTGAGTGCTGGGATTACAGGCACGTGCCACCACACCCAGCTTCACCTCTGAAATTACAGTGCATTTTATAACCAACAGTTCAACTAGCAGTGTTTTCTTTTTAGTGGTCCTTATATAAAGCAATAGAGTAGCTTATCATTGGTGAAGTATAGTATTTCTGATACATGGCCAGTTTAGAAAAGTAAAAGATCCCACCCACAAAACTGCCTCAAGAAGTTTTAAATACAAAAACCACCTCAACTAGCTAAGCAAATAATGCAGTATCCCAGTGTCTAGCACAATGATTTGGGGTGGCTTAGGGGAAAGTCCTTAGGTTTGGCATCAGATTAACCTTGGTTTTGGAACCAGCCTTTGAATCCTGGATCACTGTTTAGCAGCTGTATGACCTTAGGCAAGTCCCTTAACATCTACATCAAATGAGGACAGTCCCATGAACCAGCTTTCCCGTACTGTGAGGACTGACTAAATGGCATGTAAATGCCTGGCATGTGCTGGGTAGTTAATGAAGGCATTAACCAAGCCCCAACTATATTTAATTTGATTTCCCTCCCTCCTAAAAAGGCTCGAGATGCTTCATAATGAAAGTAAGTTAATAATAATAGAAAAGCCAGAAAGACAAATTAGGTTCAGGGTAAAGGAGAAAGCATACATGCTATCACCAAGTGTCGACAACACTGCTATAATTGAGAGCAAATCTGGCCTGCCAGCAGCAGGGGAAATGGTGTTTCTCCAT